GGGAGGGAAAAGCCGGTCACGCGGGGTTCCGTACATACAAGCCTACACCAGGTTGCACCACTGACAGAGAGAGGATCGTAGGTGGGCAGAGTGCTGGAGGGGGGAAGACAGCTTGAGTTAGAGGGCTGGAGCCAGGGGCGGGATTAGGCACAGAGACAAAGACAGGGACAGGGCTGAGGTGCAGGAGGACCTCAGCACCAAAGCTGGCGTGAGGACACGAGAGACAGGTTAGAGCTACAGTGCGCTTGGACAGACATGGATGTGGACAGCAGAGCCTGGGAATAAGACAGAAGACAGACTAATCCAACTGAACTGATCTCTAAGACTGCAACATGGCATGTGAGCATCTCTAAATAATACTTCAAACATTTATACTACTAAATTAACAGATCCTGTCAGCTTGAACAAAAGCCTGCTCTTTCACTGAGAACAGCATCTATATGTAGCTTGGATTCACACAGGAGGAAACAGCAACCCTGAGTTTCAACACAAACTATATTTTGGTTGCCCAGTAAGGAATACTTTGCTTGCTCGGTCTAGGGTGGGAAAGTGCTGCTGACAAAAACCAGAGATATGTGCAGTGACATTAACCTAATATTGTGTTGGATGTCAAACCACTGTCTTCCCAGAGACCTAACCTGAAGGTGAAACAGCTGGGTATAGGTTTTGCTGCAGGAGTGGTTATAGAAGTCTCTTGGCCACCACTGGTATCTGCCGCAAACTACAGGTGCCGTCTTCCATATGGGAGCATGTGACAGCCTTTTCAGAGCCACCTTTCAAGCCTGTTGTGTTCAAGCCAAATGTTTGACACTGAAAAGATTTTCAGTGCAGTATTCCTTTAATTGACCTTAGAGGGTTGAGGGTTGGAAAGAGCAGTTTTAAGGCGCAGTAACTGCACAGTTTGCCTCCATTCACCCTCCCATAGCATCACAAAGAAAGAATTTCGAGGCAGTAAGGGGAGCCCTCAGCAGCCATCCTGCCGAATAAGAAGTCAAAATCCTGGTATCCCATAATCCTTCACTTCAGACTGGACCCTGAGCCCAAGAGTGTTTTTGTCGTGCACTGTTTAATAACGTGGGGGCTAAACTGAGCTTAGTGACATAGACTATTCACACACGCTCAGTCACCATCTTGCACAGACATGCAGCTGTGCACACATACATGTATGTTATGCAGGTGCCCCCACAAGAAGACACACAGACTCACAGACAGGCATGCACACAATAGAAATGGTGGTGGTGCAGTCCAGGGTCATAGTCACAAATAGTCCTGTTTAAAGTGAGTGGAAAAGCCCCTGCTTCCCCTCCCTCTAAGGGAATAGTGCAGATGACAGGGCTCTCTCCATCTTCCCCTTCACACTCAGCTTTCAGCTTAATCTTTTCTTTTTTTGATTTTTTCAAGAAACAATGGATGTTGCCTAAGCACAGGACAGACAGATGTGACAGACAGAAGGCTTGGCTGGTCACCGAGGCTGTGCTCCACCCTTGCCCCCTGCCCTCCCCCTCTTCTCTTCCTCCCTCTCCAACAGAAATGGGACCTGAAATCAAAAGGTCCAGAGTTCCTTCAAATGTTTACATAAAACTACATGCAAGAGCAAAGTAGGGTTTCTTTCTTTGTCTCTGTCTTTTGCCCTTCTCCAGCACTTGTCCTTCTTCTCTCTGTCCACTCATCGTCCACCCGGCCTCTCATTTGCTCTCCAGGTTGTAGCACTGCGTCTCGCCCCACTCCCTGCCGTCGAAGCCAGGCAGAGGCTGCCCGTATTTGTCCACGCACCAGCAATAGCCCCGCCTCCTGCCTTTGGATGGACGGCACTGCAAAGAGAGGTGGAGAAAAAAATGTAGGGGTGCAAAGCTACTAGTTTGCTTTTACCAAAAAAAGTTTGCCAAGCAGAGATTAACGTGTGCAGCCTGTGTGGCACGAATGAACATCTCTCAGCCTGCTCTGACTTAAAAGTCTGGAAAATAGAGGAGGACTTATCACTTTGAGACATGCTGTGAAAACAGATTAGTGTTTCCAAGGTGAGGAATTATTATCCTGACACAGGTTCAACAGCACCTTCAGTGTGCGTTACAAAAACAGTTAATCTCCCTGTTGGCTTTTAGATTGTGGATGCTTGTCCGGAGGCCAAGTCATCATGCCTCAGCAGGACTCTAATAAGACAAGCATCGATCGTGGAGAGGAATGCCCTGCTGCCTGCAACTTTCTCTGACTTTTTGCATGCAGAAACTCTCAGAGATAAACACAGCAGATGATGCAGCTGCTCAGTTTATGAAAGATGATAAAAGTATCAAGCTCAGAGCAGAAAAGTTCACAGCATGTTGCTGAATTTGTGCCATCTCTGAGCTGTGGAGCAGTTTATTTATCAGGCTCTTGACCAGTGGGGAAATATACAATGAAAAAGTAGATTATTTTGGATAGAGAGGGGCAGGAAATGAGGAACACTGAGTGTGTGAGAGTGAAGGAGTGTGAAGGTAAACATGGAGTTGCTAAAATATTTACCAAGGCCAGTTGGAGGGCTGCAGGGAAACCAGTGCTGCTATTCTGGGAAGCTGGCAGACACTCAAAATCATCTGGAGCTGATTATGGCCCGCATGTGCACGGGTATGCGTGCATGTGTGCACATAAACACACCAGCGTCAACAACAAAATCTACACGCAGTCTTTGTATACATACCCCCCACCTACTTACACACATGCGTGCAGTAAAATCAGATGTCCCACAGGGGGCCGGGCTTTGTAGAGTGGCAACTTTATGAGCCCCATTTGGGGTAAACATGAAAGGGCACAATCAGTAGGGCCAGGCTGAACTCAAAATAATCCACCTCTTACACCCCACCACCCAGGGGAGCGGTGACAGATCACAAGGTGAGCAGCCAGTGCAGAGACACGCCTGTCTGCCTCTCCGCCTGTTTCTCTGGTGCTGCAGTCAGTAAGCACTGAAAGTATACCCAGTGTTTACAGTCCATAAATATACACCATGTATATTTGGCTCATTTCAATTGAACCAGTGGCTCGGAGGTTCAAGTGCTCACTTTGAGCAAGAAACAACCATACCAGTGATTTGCTATGTTGTCGCCCATCTACTACACACCACTCATAGTGTACTTTCCATCACAGCCTACATATTCTGGACATTTTAATTGACTTTTTCTATCTTACCAAGCAGCCACTGGTCACCACCCATGTTCTGCACAACCTGAAAAGCAGTTAGACTCTTTTTTGTTTCCTATTCTTCTATATTTTGTTGAATATTAAGTAAAAGGTGTATTACTACAGCGAGGTGATGCAGTGCAGATATTTTAAATAAATCTGAAGTTAGTCAGCATCACCAAGTAATGATAATGTAATACTGACAGACCTGGTCTTCAGTGTGATGGATTACACAGATTAAATGAGTTTTATAAGCATGTTTCATTTTCCTATAGTACGAAGTGAAGGGAAACCAGTGGCTGCCAAGAACAGGAGAAAAGAGTACACTGAATAATCTCAAACTATATACAACGAGTAAAGATCAGCCAGAGTGTAAGAATGCAGGATTTACTGTACTTAAGGAGCTGAATCTTGTAAATACACTGCCATGTGTAGTCTGATTTAAGGGTGTTCACATCTTTACTGAGATTGTTGTCACTAAAAATCGTTTCTCGTAATGCTTAAAACAACTATATCTGTATTTCCTGAGAGTCGAGCTCTTGTGCACATAATGATATAATGATTCGGTGTCACCCCTCAGTGTCATTCTTAAGGAAACTTTGACCTGCAGACTGGGAATCAAACCATCGACCACCTCTCAGTTGACCCACCGCAACCCGTTACTTTCAGCAGCAAAGACAGAAGTAGCATGACCAGTCACTGGCCAGCTACACAGGCAGCGCTGCGTCATTTAACACCCATATAGACAGCGCAGAGATGTGCAGAGTGATGTAGGAGTGAGTCTAAAACCTGGAAACAAGTTACACTTCCGGTTCCTTTCGCCCCAAAACCAGTGGCTTTTTTGAATGGGTACATCAGGGGGACATAAAAAACATCAATAAATATTCCACTAGGATTTGTTTTTTTTTTAGATTTTACATGTCTTAAACCCTGGTGTAGTTCGTTAGTAGGTCCAGCTTGTGACTCTCATGTGCATATACACTCAAGTATAATCTTCCATGAACATGCAAAAGTGAAACTGTTTGAACATTGTATCCTCATTTCATAACACAGGTATTCTCCGAATCCTCATAAACTCTTCTAACAATGGGGAATTAAAAATAATCCAATCTCCAACAGGAAATGACTTTGTGTTTCTTGCTTTTTTGTGAAAGTCGAGCCGCTTTCACACAAAGCCGGCACTCTAGATTGGCCCCTGTTGTCAGTTTGCGACCAGCAGGGGCGCCGCACACAAGTGCTGTGTAACAACTATGCTCCTGCTTGTTAAGAAATACTGCTGTATAACTCCTCTCCCAAAAATGCACCATTGTTTAACCATTAGCGCAGTTTCCGAAACCATAACCAAATAGTTTTATTTACCTATAGATGCAGAAAGGTGGCGTATCACAAAATATTAGTATGACTTGTTTTTTGAACAGGTGTCATTATACAGCACTATCAAACAAAACATTTTGCTGTTGACAAATAAAGCCTGACTATTTTAAGTAACCAGTGCAGGCTTCATATTACTTATTACCCTCACCGCATAAAGGCGGAAAATTTCTACACAGCTTATCAGATCTGGATATAAAACGTCCAATTAAAGCTGAAAGTCATTGTACTAAAATTCCAATACCCAGCAACGTGGAGCCAAAACCAAACTCTCCTAATACTTACCGACTGCGCTGCAGGCAGCTGTGCAGCGAGAGAGGCAGACACACGGACAGGCTGTAGGGTGTCACCAGGTGTCTGTTTCCAGTGCAGTCGACATCCAGATGATCAAAGGCAGCTTTACAGAGACAGGCCTATTAAAATACCTTGCCAGAAACTACTGCAGCAGTCTGGAGGCAAGTACGCAGCCCCACATGCCCCCCCACTCTCACACACCAACATCGTTGAGGGATTTGTCTCGGTGAACTCAGGTTTCCTCCCACCTTTCCTCCTTCTCCTTCTCCTCCTCCTCTTTCGCCTCACTCTTTTCTGTTGCTCTCTTGCTCCTCTCTTCCCTCCTTTCCCCCGCATGGTGCCGTCGTCACAGTCTGTGGCCAGTTTCTATTTTAGCCCTGACCCAGCAGATGAGACTGTGGAGAGGAGCTTAACATTGTGTTCCTCTGCACTGGTTAGTGATGATACAGTTCTGCATGTGCAAGATGTGTGTGTCTGCATGTTCATATGCACGGGAAAGTCGAAAAGCCAGAGGAGAAGGGAGAGGAAAAGCAAAATGTGCATGTGTGCATTCCCCTGTCACTGAATACACTGAATACCCGCTCAGTGTATCTACGACCTGTATTAGCAGTCATCTCAAGCAATCCTTTCTTTACCTACATACACACAGTAGGACAAGGCAAAGAGCTGATCCACATCCCAAGCATCACTTACTTGAGCTGGAGTTTGTACTTTTGTTTTGATACTACGCTCTTTTTCTTTTAGGAAGGTGTAATCAAGCCTGCTTATGAAATCTCTCCATTGAGCAGATTCAGCAGTCAAGCATAAAGAAATGGTGGCTGAAATCCTAAGTTTGGTGAATCATATATTCATTTCATGTAAACTTAAAAGTTGTCTGTATTCGGTTTGCAGGTTGCTTAAATTGAAAATGACAAGGGACCTATTTTCACAGAGGAAAATGTATATACATGATGGGTTTTTTTTCTCGTACAGTGTATTTTGAAGGAGGTTACTGTAACATTTCCTCTGCTCCATACTGGCCTAAGAATTGGAGACAAAAACCACAGTCTTTATTCTGTGCAAAAATGACTTCTAAAATTCAGCTAAAGCCAATATGAGGCTTCAGCAGTCTGAATTAGCCAAATCAAGTAGGTACCAGGATGCATCCCTGATACTATCCATACTATAAAGCCCAAAATTATGGAAGAAAGCCACAAGATCTGGCTTCCTCAAACCACTGAAGCTGCTGAAGGGCTGTGCCTTTTGTCCCCCGTGTTTTATAGTGTGAAGAGTTTGCTTCATGGCCAGTACTGAGAGCAGGAGTAATTACCGTCACCCATAACTCTTTCAACATACAGTATGTCTGGCATGTGAGTATTGTGTTAAGATGAACTTGAAAAATTCAAACCTGCTTATTCTGTTTCCCCTCTGTCCAACCTTGAATCCAAACAGACTAGAGTTGATGTCTTCCATGAAGGAGAAAGCCACAAGCTTGTCATAGAGTATCTGCTGCTCACAATATACTGTACTGCTGTACTGTAGGTTTTTGGAGGAGTGTTCACTTATCCCAGAATTCTGATCCACAAAGTTTAAACCCTGGGTCACCTCAGACCTCATGCCCTATATTCTGAACCTCACATTCCTGTCAGTGGCCCAGCATGATCCTCTTGGCTGTCATTAAAAAAGTACATTTCATCCACCCTGCACAGTCATAATACTATCTTTATGGTGTGTGTATGTGTTGTGTGTGTGAATGCATGCTCTTGTGATGCTGGTCTTTATAGCTAATAACAGCGCCACTGGGCTTCACTGACATTAAAAAGCACCAGCTCTGACCAAAGGATAAACACAAGCTCATAAAATGCAGTGTGTGTGTAGGGCTATATGTATTTGTGTAAAAGAGGATGAATCTGTGTGTGTGTTTGCAAGTGCATTAGGACTACTGTAGCTGCAGGATATTGCTTTTTCTGGAAAAAAAAACTAGTTTAATGGAGTCTGTGTGAATTACAGAATAATTCCTTTGTTTTACAAGAACTGAGCCACACAAAATTTAAAACAGGAACCTGCTTTACAAAGTTTGCAAAGACACACCTTTTTATAAGAACGTGTTTTGATTGGGACATATTTACTCCATTCTCTGTTAACATAAAATGAATCAGTGGCAAATCTGATCACCTACTCCAAAACTACCAGCTCCCAAACTATTTGCATGTTAAACCTTCCCTAATGAAAGGCATTGCAACTTACTGTAAAATGACTGTGCTTTCAACTGTGGCTCGGACGACAATATAAAGCAATTTCAAACCATCACTTTCTGCTCTGCTGGCTTGTGATGGAGTATTAAAAATGGTCACATATCGTAGGTTTTCAATACACAGTTAACTATGCCAAAGTTGGATGCGCCTTCTGTGGAAGCCCAGTACTCATGTTTAATGATGTTTTAGCCCATGATGAGTATCACACCACCACCACGACAGGCGGCCGAACCTACTGTAGCTTTAAACTGATCTAAAGTGTTAAAGCTGCTTTTAACTCCTACCCTCACCCAAGTAAATACAATGTGGCTCGACTCAGCCTCGTATCTACTGCCCTGGCTGACCCCACAGGCTTGATGAGCGCTTTCATCTGAGCGATGAGCGCCATGCCTGCTAGCTGTTATCCCTACTAGTCTGTAGCAGTTATTGTATATAAAAGATGACCACCTTCTGGCCTAGCTCTTGAGCAGAGCACAGATACTTGCTGGCATGACCTGGCCTTATATGTGCATTTTATTTGCTCAGGTTAGGCTACAGGCTCTGCCCAGCTGAGTTGTTAGGCAGCTTCATCAGCTCAACTTTCCAACCACTGTCACTGTATAATTCCACTAATGTCATCTATAGCCTCTACTTAGCAACCCCTCTGAGACAAGTACGTCCCCTGACCTATGTCCATCCAAAGTAAGTGTCCACATCAATTTGTATGCGAGTGTGAGTGTGGACGAGCGGACGTCCTCTAAATAACTGATATGGGTACACGATACAAAGAAGATGGAACGGTGTGCTCGAGCATCCCAGAACCAAGCCACTCTTCATCAGGGCCCAAACACTCAGCCCATCCATAAATTCACTCCAGCATCACCAATAACTAGCATGCCTGAACCATTAAATGTGTGTCAAATAAACTCGGATGTGCAAAGTATAATCTGGGCTTCAGCAGTTTAAAAAAATTAAAAAATACTATAAATTAAAAATGAAAATTATTATGCATTGGAGCCTTAGACATATCATTATGATGGAGCATTGAATATTAATTTTTTCAACGTACAGTGAAATATGTCCATATTGAAAGTTGATTGAATGCTTTGACCAGGTTTTTGCTAATTACTAATTTTTTGATGACATATTTTCATGTGTTAAAACATTAAAAACAGATGCACTGAAACTTGCTAATGAAAAATGACTTTGTAGAAACCATGCTTATATTCTGAAAGTATAGTACTGAAAAAGTATTGCTGGTTATCAGGTTGCACAGGCGCCTGGCTCACATCCTTAACCCACTGCCTGTCTCTCTCCTCTTCCTCTCAACACATAACTCTGAAAGAGTACACAGAGAAACAGAGGCACTGGCGTCCCATTCACAACCGTCTGCAGGGTAATTCCTGGCCAAACAAGGAAAAGCCAGGTGGGCGGAAGAGCAGGATGGACAGAATGATGGTGCAGAACAAAAGACTGTAGGCAGGGCACAGTGGGGGTTATGATGGCTGGGTGAAATGTTGAAAGAAAGAAAGAGAGAGAGAGAGACCTTGAGGGGTGTAATGAGCGGGTCACTGTTGGGCATGCGTGGCCTAAACTGGGATACTGAACCAATTCATATAACCACAGCTAAAAATAAGTTTCTCTGGAGCCGAGATAGGTCTGCTCTGACTTCTCCTACAGGCTTAAAGCGCTCACATTACCAGCAACATATACAGAAAACCACACACATACAGTACGTGTTTGAACTTCGTCCTGATTACAGTTGATCACTAGAGTCTAAAATCCAGGTTATTTGTGTCAAATCTCACCCACTGTAGGCTAAAAAAGTGGCTGTTTATACAGCTGTTCATTTTGTCCTTAACGGAGAACAAAACTTTAACGTGAATTCACTTGTGCTCCACACAAGTGGAGCGCAAGGTTCCAAAGAAACTTGTTGAGCCATTCCAGTAGGCATTGTTCACCTGTTCTTCATCCGTCTGCTCACTATGCTCACGTACTCATTGTTTCACCACAATATGACTCGCCCCTTTTATTCTGTAGTTTACACAGCACACAGTAGCAGCTTAATGAACAATATGGTAACAGGTGACAAATGTGAATATGAACTGGGTGTGTGGGGTGGGGTGGGACTCACAGTGACCTGGCAATCACTTCCACCTCACACAGCCATCAACCAGGTGAGAAGTTATCGCACTGTGAAGCTCTGGTTTTCATTCTCCTCAATTACTTTAGTCACTTTTCATGCACACAAATGAGTGTAACACTGTGAGTGCAACACAATGAATTCCTTTGGGCAAAGATGTGTGCTGTTATCCGCATTTGAATGTCATCTATGATGGCAGCCCCCACCTCTGAGTGTGGCAGGTCTGAAAAGCTATAAACATTTTTCCCTCTGAATGTGATCAGACAACATCTGCTTCTCCACAAATAGACATCATTTCCAGAAGCCATAAAGCGAGCACGGTTAGCAATGTAATGACAACTAAGTCAGCACAGTCACAAGAGACAAATGTTAAGAGCCAGAGCTGACAGCGATGTGTGCAGCCATGCTTGCAACACACTGATTGTATTGTGTGGACTGGGCAGTGAGCAGGCAAATTACACTGCAGTTTCATTTTCAAACTTTCTAAAGTAATTTTGATGCTTTTCTTAGGTGTGATATGTGTTACCATTTGGAGCCACATGAATCTAATCTGACTACTCCTGCAGCTTTCTGAGACTTTTCCAGGAACTCTGAAGCTTTTCCTTCATTTAAACCAGTCCTTGCCTGTCAGAAGTCTCCACTCTGGAAGTAGGATCCTTCTGGATGTCCTATCCAGGCAGCTGAATTACTGACTGTAATCCAAAAATGATTCAGCAAGAAAGTGAAACAAAACTGAAACTTAGCATTGGCTGAGGTGTCCACAAAAAAATCGCTCAATAAATCATCTTTATGTTTATAAGAGGCACCTTTCTGACCTTTGCAGCATCCCTTTCCACCATTGCACAGCTCCCTAACCACATCACTCAATGACAAAGAACAAAACAATGCATAAAAAACGTACATCTCAAACAAACCTACCACTTAAATTGCATTTTAATCCATAGTCTGCTTTGCATGAATGTTGCAGCTCTGGACAAGGAGTCAAAACCCAGTGCAAACAAACGGACTAAAGAAACTTTTATTCTCCTTTTCCACTTCTGTATATCTCACACAATTTGCCTAATCCTCACAGTTCTTTGGATGCAGTGAAAGCCCAAACAGAAATGTACAAAAAGGCCTTATGTATAGCTTTTATTTTAGTTTCTGAGATTACTTTCTGTTGATCCTTTGTTCCTGGAACAACTAGATTGAAAAGGTGCTAATACCAGTTCAGTTCCTGGTACTATTTGGTAGAGATGGTCCACATGAAAGATGAAACTAGCAGCTTTAGCCACCTTTCAACAGCTTGCAACAGTTTGATAATAAAAGATTTTGACTGGAGTATCACTTTAAGATATGGCTTATGTCTCATGTTTATGATTAGGCCCTTGTTT